GAATCCTAGTCCAAAGAAGATTACCTAGTGATGTTGGCATCATGTGATATTCGCAGTGTAACTTTCTTTGTAAATGAGTCCATAAATTTTCGATTGAATTCAAATCTGGGCTTTGTGCAGGCCAATCTAATAATTTAAAATTATTATTACTTAGCCAATTTTGTATCGATTTCGCCATGTGTTTGGGGTCCGATCATGTTAAAACATCCTCGGGAGATGGCATGTTATGTACCATTTCTGGTAAATGAGTTTGTAAACTAGTCATATAACTATACTGATTCATGTTACCAACAACTTGGTGCATTGCACCGGTCCCATAGGATATCATACATCCCCATAACATAATGGAACCACCGCCATGCTTTAATGTCTCTTTAACGTGACGTCGTTTAACGCTTTTACATTTCCTTTTTCAATACCACATTCTGCGATTTAATGATATTCGATTTATTTTTGTCTCATCGGACCATATTACGGATCTCCATTGATCGATAGTCCAATCCTTGTACTTTTTTGCGAATGCTTAGCGCGCTTTAACATTCTTTTTAGATAGCATTGATTTGGGTTTCTTTTCAATGCATATATAATTCTAGTTCCTTAGTTCTCTCATCGTTATCCATTTACTAATTAACTTTCCTGTACTCTCCTTTAATACATTCGCGGCCATGGAAGCACTCGAAGATTCACCGCTTTGAATATATCGTCCCAATAATCTTCCTTCTTGCGGTGTTAACAATTTCGGTGGATGCACATCTTGTGGATGCACCAGATTTTAGCGTTAAAATTATTTTATTCTTTATTTCTTTCGATATTGTTTTCATATTACGAAAAAAATTAACAAACACATTATAAACGATGCAATTAATATTAGAGGAAATTAATCTATGTCTACTAACAAAGATTAACATTAGTGAACAATAAATTCAGTAATGATGAAAACTTAGGAGCTGGAAAACGACATTTTCAAAAGCATAAGAAATAAAAACAAACATTGAAAGGTCTTGAAAGATAGCATATAATGTTCACCTTTATATATGTCAACATTAATCGCAGTACAATGTTGTGTATCTGAATAAATGTAAACATTCTAGGCAATTGTATAGTGTTCAGTTTTGTTCATTACTATATATAGTAAACGTCATATGTTTGTCCAAACTTTGTCGTTAACTGACGCTAACACGTTAATTGAGAATCATTTCGCTCTTAATAGCGAACTCTGATAAAAGTACGTTACGTGATAAAATACGTAATTCGAAGTTTTAGTTTCCGAAAATAAAAGTACGTGTTAAGATTATCGATGCATGTTGAACTGGGTACTTTAGGGTTACAGTTACACGATTTCCAGAAAATCCAATACTTCTTTTATTAAACTCAAATTAGTTTTTAAAAGTGCAATGCAAAATGGTAGTGTCACGTTCATTATTTGCGAATAAAAATAGTCGATTCATTAAAAATTCTCGATTACGCCTGTAGGAATAGGACTGGTTGCAAACAACGACTGAATAGACAATCGAATTAACCGAATCAGCCACAACATACCAAGACAAGAAGTACGTGATTTCCTTCGATTGAATTCGATTTGCCTGTGAAACTTGTAGCTAGAAACCTGTTTTGCATTTAGTTAGAAAATATCTGTTACTCTCTTTTCTTCGTGAATACCAATTAAAATAAGAAAATGAAAACAATTTATAAGCAGTGTATAGTGAGTCTTGTTATACATCTATCGATTTAGGAGTGCTGATTTCATCCCCTAAAACCGAGATCATTTCGTGAATACGTTACACAACAAATTTAACTGAAATTACTAGGAAGGATGTTAAAATTCGTGTTACGCTCGTTTCGACTTAAAACGCTGTATAAATAAATATTGAACATTTCCTTTGCGTCAACTAAACCGCGCGAACAACAATTTATTGCAATACTGACTGAATACTTTTTACATTTCCATTTTACTATACGACAAATACTTTGAATTGATAAATTCGTGATAATTCTAGCCGGTTAATTGCACCGCTAATTGCACATGCTACACGTACCACGTTTCTATCGAACGTACGTATTCCGCGCGGGTAGGGACAATGTCGATTTAGAGAGACCAAGGACGTTCGACGTTCTCTTTTCACGCACTCCGCCGTGAAAACCTGTTGCCGTTTGCTTGTATCGTACCGGAATAAAAAGAAAAATTTCATTCGGAGAACAGATGTTTCTTCGTAACAAGAGTCGGGCCGCAAAAAGGAATGTTTAATATTATCGTCCTTCGTTTCTACGCGGAAACTCAACTCGGAGTTTCAAATATCAATAAATAAATCTGTATTCAATTTTAGAACAGGAAGATTTATTTTCTATATACGTGTATTTCTCATTTTATTTTCGACCAGGCAAAACGGTCCGTTGAAAGTTGAAACGGATTATTGAATATTTCTTATATAGATATCGTGTAACGATCAATACTTGTAGCATTTAATTTATAGCAACACCGATTCAGTACAAATTTTTGTCTTTTGTTAAGAATACTCTCGTGTTTTTTCGGATATACGTGAGAAATTATTTGAAAATGTGAATGTTCTTGTGTAGGGTGCGGATCATCCATCAATACATCATAAGCGTTTCACGTGAATTAAAATTCTAAGAACTGAGATACTGTGGAATAAACAGGAAAATCTATTTACATGATATTTTTTACTTTTTTTAATCAACCGATTCAATTCTTGAAATTTTCAATTTGAACGGATAAAATCTGCACATTGTTTTGATACAAACACTAATATGTAAATTCAATTCAATTGTAGATCATGAGAATATAATACTTTTATGGTTGTTTTAATAGAATATTAAATTTCCAATTTCTCAATAATATTTCATCGAAATCAAATTACCAAATTTGTTTGGTAGTACACTGATAGATATTTTCTTTTGTCATTGTAACATTGTTGCATGTAACAATTTATTGCATGCAATTGAATTTTCATTACAATTCAAATATTCCCATGACCTATGGCATGGGGATAAAAGGTTAATTCCAAATGAATATAAATTGCACAATTATGCAAATAACATTGATCCATAGAAATCTAAACTCGAATGAGCTACAGACAAGTATATTGATAACGATGAACAGTGCTACGTGCGAACATTTGAACCGTGACCCCCTTGCAAAATGATTTTTCCTGATACTCATTATTAATTTTTCCGCTCATTAATATCGAAAACATTCCTTCTGCGAAGCGTGATTAAATTGCACTCATTTTTTTCTACGATACGTGTAAATAATTACATGTACGACGTAGAGACCAGCTTCTTTAAAAACTATAACGTTGAATTATAAACATAATGTTTGAAAAAAAACTAGCAAGCAGTGGAAACTGCAGCGTGGTTATCTAATCTTACCGACACGCAACAATTAATCGAAAAGGAAGTGAAAGATGTTTGCGAAATATATATTTTGCAATGTTTAAATAAAACACGCAAATAAAAGAATATATGATATTTTCCTTCAAGATTTCTGCATTATACCACTTAAATTATGATAGATTGAAAGTATATTAAAGTATAATTACAAGATAGAAAGGAATTAATTCATTTGAAAATTTAATTATTAAAATTCGGTACTATCAATAATTAATATGCAACATAGAAATACCCTTGATGATCCACGATCACCCCGCGCTATCTTTGAAAAATCAAAATGGCTGCCAGATGCTTTAGCTTTTAAATACGTAAACGTTTCATTACACGAAGTGTAAGTATTCAATAGAACTTAACCAGCAGGATCATACTTCTCTCTAGTTTGAAATTCAATATTTCCTAACCTCAAATGATATACAAGAAGAGTAAATTATTTTTCCAACAACGCTGGAAGTAAAATTAAAAATGATATAGAAAATACCGAATGTAGTAAGATTTGACAGCCACATTGATAAACTGTAAACAGTTTTGCATTACGTAATCAATCTTATTCTCTTCGATTGACACGAAACTGTACTTCAGATTCAATTACCCCAACCGTCCATGCAGTTTAAAGCATGCTCCTTAAACATCAACCGACTACTTTAGATAAGTTCCGCGATAATATCAATACCTTAAAAGCAATCAATTAATTTTATTGCATCCTCGTTCAACTGGGAAAATAATATGCCCGAAATTTTTTATTTAAATTTTGCTACAGCAAGATTAATATACCGATAAATGAGTACGTTGGGCCTATGAATATTACAACGCCAAATCGATCCAGGTTTCTCCCACGTGATGCACGCGCGTAATTGTAAAATCTTTCGCCAATCGTGCACACGTCATCTGTAGAAATATAGTGTGTTTATGGTTGCTTTATCTCACATGACTTATTCACGTGGTGTACGACGCGCAAAAGTATTTCAGCAACGATAGCAGCATCACATTATATCACGTATCATGGAACTTCCCTTTCCCAGCAATGTTTATCATCAAACGGAGAAAAAAATGATACGTGACACGCGGATCGAACGCCGTGTTTTCATTACCATTCTGTCGCCGATGTGAACGCTGATCGCGGCAATTTCGATCGTTGCAAAACGCGAAGCCACTACGATAAAACGTCGTCAACCATAAGCTAACAATTTCCTGGAAAACACATCATGGACAACTTAATCGTGTCCTTCCGAGAAACACGCTAGTAAGTAACTTATCGATGTAACCTCAAAAATTGATTCGCGAATTGATTCGGGCGTCGATCGCTATCTGACCATAACAGAAGCTTTCACTCTTTTCGTTATCGATTACAACAGGTTCACAACAACACCAGTGAGAACCCAACGATAATCGTTCTTGTACTTTCACTTTCTACGCGAACAATCATCTGCGCTCGCGGTTTTCCCTGCAGCTGTGTCTTGCAACGGCGTAGATCGCTGTGGTACCAGATCGATGCAAGACAGATCTGATTTCGAAAACGGGGACACGCGATTACCGTACCGCGCGACACGCGACCGATGAAATAACGGCTCTTCGGAATCGAAGATTTCACTCACCAAGGTTTAACGCAAACCAACCGCGTAGCTAATCATCCGTCGTCAGTCCTATCGGTTTTGCTTTTTTTTTCTTCTTCTTCGTTCTGTCGTTATATAAACACACTGTGCATTATTTTTCACAGACGCGATTCTACGATCACCGTTCCGTGTAAACGCCGAGAATGAGAAAACAATGGAAATTTCGATCGTGCACGTAACGCGGGTTGAGATTCATCAACGACAGACCGAGTAACACGGTTCGACACAAACTGACGATTCCTCGCGCGCCTTGTCCGTTACCGGAGTTCCCCCGTTTTTACGGAATCGGACCACGTGACCATTGAGCCAACCAGCGATGTAGCCGTGACCGGTCCAGGCCAATCGCAGTTGGGGAAGACCCCGTGAATTTCATTGAGTGATTAAACGATGTACGAAATATTTGTGGAATTAACCAAATCAAACATGAAAAGTTGATTATTTTTATGCGTCATAATACTTATAGTATTTTTTAATGATGTTTTGACTACCAGTCGACAAGTTATAGGATGAAGTGAATTCAAAGTTCAAATGAAATTCGTCACTCGATTTTCCGTTTTTGTTGATGGGTTTTTAGAGTATCGTTTCCAATAAATTGTTACTATTAATCGAATGTGTTTAGAGTGTTTTTTAAAATGTAATTTAATTTGACGGATCATAGTATGGATTTATGATTATAAAAAGCATTCGTACTTGATATGTATGTCATTTTAAACAGTTTTGAGTTTATTATATCAAATAAAAACATATATAAATAAATTCAAATATTCAGTTTCATAGAATTGGAAAAGCTATTTCATGCGGACGATTTTAAAAATTACATTTGGTAGGGTTCGGTGCAGAACAAAAACAGATATTCACCGAGTAACGTCAAGTAGGGCGTGTTCTATAAAAAGGGGGGTGTTTACTTTTCTGGTTACACCGTTAGAAATAACTGTAATAAGATAGTATAATCTCTTGAAGAGACTTGGGCGGAAAGAGCTTCTTCCCTGGCGGGTAACCAGAAACCCCATCCTCTCGAAAGGGCTTTCGAAGATTTCTGCCGACACATGTCCCTTTCTAATATTTCTGGTTGATTAAATATTTACTTAGAAAACTGGCGCTACCTTTTGCCTGTCAAGAAAAAAAATGAAGAGTTATGTATGAGTTTTTATTTATATTGATACGATTAAAATCAGATATATTCATGCACTTCTTTCCTTTCCGCTTTGATCGACTTAATATTTCTGATAAAAAAAATTAATATATTGATAAGAAAATCATTGATCGAATATCATGATAAGTGAAAATAAACCTGTGAGCCGTTCTATTGAAAGTACCAAAACATAAAAGGGAAAAAATAAATTTGTTATCTACATTTTAAAAACTCTCACTTGAGCTTCCTACATTTGGTTAGTTAAGATTTCGAATCTTTTTCCTTTTTATGTAAATGATTAATTAAACGATTAATTTTTACGTAAACGACTCGATATATTTCAGTTTCGAAATATAGTTACGTTACTTTGTTCGCGTTTATCGTGAGAATCTCGAACGTGTTTTACCCATTCACCGCGGTAATGAAGCGATTATGAGGGATTAAAATAGTAGAATACGGAGGGGGTAACTGATGAGTTTACTGATATTCTAATCAAGATGAATATACTGCTCGTTTTTGACACTTTATCGTTCGTATCTAAGATACTTGTGTATCTGATAGCAGTTATGTGATTGCAACATATTTCAATAGTAATGACAATAATTTCTACGTATAAATGAATATATAGGATAAACTAATTCTATAAGTAAAAAATTGTAAACTACAGAGCTAATTAAAACTATTCATTATTACACGAACATTTATCTCGAAATCTACAAATTATTAGTATTCGGGCACAACTATTTTTCTTAGGAACCAAACCAAAAACGCGAAATAATGAAAGCACGTTGCTCTCGAAGAAAAGTTTTCTCCCTTTTCCTTTCTAGTGACCAAGCTATTGGTAGGTATATACTAGACACAGGGCATGCTTTCGAGTACCCAGCTGTGACGAGGCAGAGTCTTGAGTCTGAAAAGTTCTGGTCACCACATGGCCTAGAATAATATACTTCCGTGCAGTCGCTTTTTTCTATGGCAGTGCTTTGTCGTGGAAAGTATCCCCATTTAAAATGCCACGGGTCCTCGAAAAAATCTTGTAAGATGATTTCATAAGGGCTAGCAGATGTGTACTACGGTACGGCATTACTATTTCCGTTTCCGTTCCTTTCACCGCTCTCTGCCACGTGCCTCGGAACAAAAATTCAGTCTTTTTTATTCGCTTACAAGAAGTATCTCTGAACCGTAATATTATTCACACTTGGTGGTCCTTACGTTTTGCTTGACTTGAATAATCGAATCAGCGTTGAAAGTCATTAATCATAAATAAATATATCTTAAAGAAGCGAATGATACTCTCATTTTATTGTACCTGGTTCATATTAATTTTCGTTTCACTTGAACTGTAATAATTCGGATTTAGTTAAATTATCGATTTGTCCGTAGCAAACTGGTTGTACGAATGTTTTGTTATTCGAACATTGACGTCCGCAGAAACAAGTTTGCGATCTGGGTTTTTCTCGTCGACCTGTTATACATGGTTTTCCTTTCTCCATGGAATTCCCGAACTGTGAATATGGGGAATTATCGTATAATTACCTTTAACTACCTGAGAAAGCTTGTAGCGGTGAATTTTGGGCACTTTTCCCTTGCATTGTGGAATATTTAGTGATTAACAGTTATTCTTATTACTTCGACTGTAATTGGACTCATAAAGAGGCAATTTACTTTCGTTTGTTGCTGATGTGATGCGCATTTACCTGAATGAACGAGTAATAGCTACTTTTAATGGTGAATACCTGAAAGACCGTTTAGTGAATATGACGAGCATAGTTTCAATATATTTAATATGGCGTATATATTTTGTCATTACGTGTTGTAACAAGCAATTTAAAGTTTGTGATGTTCGAGGAGCCTGGATAAGATAAAGATACATATGCAATGGATAATGAATTTGTTTATGTTGTAAAACATCTACGAAATTACAAGTGACATTTTGCGAAGAATGATGACCTGCAGATAAATAGATTCTAAGGGCTTAATTAGATTTAATATATAGTTTGAATAGTAGATTTAATACGTAGATTTAAGACGTAAATTTAATTAAACCGTATCATTTTATTCATTACAATGTATCGATAAGATAGTTGGTTTAGTTACGTTAATTTCAGTATTGTACGTTCGAATTTCGTTGATTATCAATATTTAAGTCCCACTCAAGTATGTTTCCACAATTATAGATTATCATAAACTACTCATTACGCAGAAAATTATCTATATTCGTTACATAACATTATGAATGAAAAAGTTACCAATTTCGCAGCGTTACTCGGAATCGTTTTGAACGTTTGGTATCCTATATGTGTTCAAGTCATGTTTAAATTCGTTGATATTAAGATTTAATAATTATACAAAAATTTAAGAACTAACAGTGTATATTTTAAGACCTTGATATTTTATAATCTTTTATTTGTTTATTTCCTAAAATAGGAATCGCAGTGCAGTGTAGAATTCGAGTGGCACACAAGCGTTACTTGCGCCTGCAAATCAAGCTCGCCACAACCAATGCCTGCAATAGATGATACACACGGAGGTGTTCAAGAATTCTCTCCTAGTCACAGTGAGTGTCAATGAATAGTATTAATAAAATTTGCATATTCAAATTGAAATACAGTGAAGCTAAAACTAGTGAAATATTCAATGAAGTATTAACTTCTCTTCTAGTGTAACTAGTTCTTTCTCGCGATAAATCATTAAACTCTCATTTCAGCGTATTAATGTACAAAGGTGAACATGTAATTTAATTTATAAAATTGAAAAGAATTATAGGGAAAAAGACACTTCTAAGAATGAAAAAAACAATGTTATTTGGTACTTTGCATTTTATCAAGATTTATGGCAACTCTGCCATACTTCCGGAATATTATCTAGCGGTGTATATGTTGAAATTTGTTTTTAAATTAGCATATTGTGAAACTGTTTAGCTGGTACGGTGGCTGGCATCGTACTGAGTGTTATCGCTCTGGTAGCAGTGCTGCTTTATTTCCGAGATCCGGATAAGAGGACGTGCTTGCGTTCTTGCTGGCATCCATTTTCATCTAGGAGGGGCAGTGGGCGCGTTCAGTACTGCAGAGTATGTTAATTATGTTTTAAATTGACTATTAATTAATATAAATACAAGAAAATCGATTTTTCTATCTCCGTTCGTTATATTACGTGCACTCAACGAAACTCTCTATTAAGATTATCGATTGTATTGATACGTAATGTATCAACATTTTTTTCTTTTGATATATCACTGATGTAATGATATTATACTTATAATAGAAAAAAGTACTTAGTTTCGCATTTGTCGCGATTAACGTATACGACAAGAAAATGTTTTCAATTCAATAACATTGATTGGCATTAAGATATAGTCATAGTTCTGTACATCTGGTCTGATGAGGCTACATGATCAAAATAAGAATATCGAGGTAATTCACTGAACATTAATTAAATTATTCTGAATTTTAGGTTGATACCACAGAGGAGGCTAGATTGTTACTCGATGTTGATCCTACTCAGTGTCAAACCGATAGTGATGATGATCTTCTGAATGCATAGTCACATTTGGCTATCTTTTTAGGAAAAACTTTTTACACTCTATCTTATCTAAGTCCCTAATCGCATTAAAAGGAAACAATGCTAATCTAAACTAAGAGATTTCTATGTGGAAAGTCTGTTCCGTTATTGCTATCGGTTAAATTGGTCTAAATTAATTGTATATTCTATCTACGGGGAGAACTGAATTTGAGTCACAACGCGTTCATTAAGCTCTTAAAATTTCCATATGTTAGAAAAAGAATAGCAGCTTTAATTCAAACTTCATTGTGTTATTATTCCGTGCCATGAAATGTTCTAAACATTTATTAGCAAGATATAGTATCATGTTCTCTGAGAAACAGGGGAAAATTATAATAGCTTGACGTTGATCAAGCATTTGTACAGAAAAGTCATTTGATAGTTTTATATTTATTTTCTATTATTTCGAAAAATTTCTACATGCATGTTTTAATAGCTTATTCAAAACAGAAATTAATACATATATAACTATTTCAGTTTTAATAGAACACTAATATTCACAACATTGTGAATTATGTCAACACATGTCAAGTCTTCCAATAAATTTAAAGATGTAAAATTTCGAATAATCTGATTTGTCAGTTTCAAGTATCGTAAATTTGTAATTTTTTCCATGTATGTAAAAAATAGTATAACATAATACCGTAGAAAAACGTTTCACATTTGTAATTTGTATGGTATGGAAACTTTTTGAGGGTTGAATGAACAAAACGTATATACTCAAAAATGTCTTGATATTATAATGTATTTTAATTCTGTGACATTAATTAAACATTTTTATTTTACATTTTTCTGTGAAAATAATAAAGATATTTCTGTGTTCTAATATATTGTACGATAATTATATTCCTTTTTTAGATAAAGAAATAAAAGGGAAAGTTTTGAAAAGTTCTTACTTTGAAAGCTCAGTAGCTTCGTGAAACACTATGTTAATAATAATAACAGAAATTCTTTATTATACTCACAATGTAATTATATATTAATATATTAAATTAAAAAATGTTTGCTTTGTTTAATGCGTTCAACTTCTTTATATGTTTATATTACACATGCAAACGTAATATTAGGGAAGTTTGTGATGATTTCTATATAATGATTTAGTCTATAATCAGACATTGTTGTCTCACTATACCTCGGTGATATAAATATGTAATTATAAAAGAATCTTTATTCTGTAAATTAACCAAAAAATTTTTAAATGTTGTGACTATAAATAATACTATTACTATCTATAAATATATATATATTCATTATTTAACCCTACCTTAAGAAATAATGACAACGATATTCTAGTTCACGTAAATGTCTTTTATAAATAAATAAATAAACATACGAAAATTTATCTATGTTACGTTAAAAAATTGTAATCGCTGGAAACCCAGATTGAAGAGATTTAAAAGATCTTGATAAATAAAATAAATAAAATAAATAAACTATGTGACTATGAAAAAAAAGTACGAATTAATTCTTACTTAGTTCATCATTTATAGAGCTAATTAAGAGACAACTGAATTACTAGATTTCTCGATTACGTGAAGATGGATTCAGGGATACGGGTCGATATTTACGAATTACGATACGAATGCATGAAAAGTCCAAGAATGTTGTGTACATTAATTTATGTAATATTTCAATCTTTCCATAGTACACGCCAAGACATGATTTCAACTAAAAACCTCGCCGTCCGCGGTACAGTAACGTGTTGCGCGTCGAAAGTAGAATTGAAATCCGGAACGAAAGTTCATTACGACGAACAATTCATTTGTACGACGTGTTACCATTGCGTATAGACATGATACAACAAATTTATTTTTGCACAGTCATTATGTTATACGACTTGGACACCGAAATCAAAATATTCGGAAGAAAACAGGTAAACAAAATCATTCCTAAACGTGTCACATTCTACCCCATAGTTACAGTACTCTCTTTCTCTCCCTCTCTCGGGCACGCTCTTCCTCTCTTCCATTCTTGTATACTCTTTGAAATAAAAAAAGGAAATAATGCAGAATCGCGTATTTTATTCTTTGCACTCGAGAAAAATCTACGTTCACGAAATGCGACGCGAAACTGGAGGAAAATGTTCATCGAGTTTGAGCGCGTCGAAGGAAAAAAAGGAAACGGTTCGAACTCGTGGCGTTCAGATGTGTCTGTGTTCCGTGATCGGCGTGCGTGTCGTCGGCAGGACAGGAAACGAATTTAGTTGCAACAGCTAGCTTTTGTTAAGTTATTTTTTTTGTTCTTTTATAGCACATACACTCATTATACGTAAATTGTTCCGTTAGCTTAGTGTGGTTTCTCTATCCTCGTTTGTTTCGTTCGTAACAACAGCGAAATACACTGGAGCTTTTTTGTTCTCGGCCGGATCGAAGGAAGGAAACGAAAAATTTCGAATGTAGAACGAGAAAAGTTTCAGAGACAAAAAAAAGAAAGAAAAGAAAGGTGAGAAAAAACAACAGAGGACAATAAGAAAGAAAACGTACACGTTTCTCGCCAATCTGCCGTTTGATGCGTCGTCCATACTCGCGCGCTCGCGCGTCCCGGATGCCGAGGACGAACGACTGAGCCCACATCATTGGCAGGTTGTGATCATGATATTCTGGGAGGCCCGGTCAATCATCCGGTAATCGGAGGCCTCCCAACCAACGAGTTTTCTGTTTTCGTCAACGGGATGTCTCGTTTCGTCCGTCCAAGTATCCGCGTTCCCCATGAGAAAGGCGCTCGGGAAATAACTACAGTAGTTCGACTAGAGGGTGCACAGTCGGAGGAGAAGGAGGAGGAAGAGGAGGCTTTATACATCCTACAACCGTTCTCATAAACGCAAAATCAAAAAGAAATCGCGCACAACATCCTGGCTCCCGTTTGACACGTTTTTCTGGTTTTCCCGTTTTGTTGTTTCATTCTTCACGTTCTCACAATTTTCTTTCTCTGCGACTTTTTTTAATACGAGTTCAAAGGCATCGATTCCACTCCCCCCTCTCCCCCCTCTCTCTTTCGCTCACTCCCCTCCCCTCTCTCATGCTTCACCCCATCAAATGAAATTTATTCGCGACACGTATACACACGCTTTCGTCCCTTCGACAAAACCCGCGTATCGTTTTCTCGTGCTGCACGACGGCGGAGGAGACGATCGTTCTCAATGTCCGGCATGTGAACCATCCTCGCTTCTACGTTCATTCCTCGCCGCTCAAATTAACACTCTCTCTTTCTCTCGCTTTCTCTCTCTCTTTCTTTCCCTCTCGTTCTTTTTGTATATCTCCTACATTTACAGTATTATGTACAACTGTTTGGCACCGAAATTGTCTCTTAATCGAATGATGCCAACGAAGGGTCCATGGTTATGAACACGATCCACGAGGCTTGAGAGCCTTCGATAGTGCGTTTGTTCACTCTCCGTTAAGCCGATCGAACAGCCGCCTCTCGTTAGTTTTCTTTGTATCGTATTTCTAAGTCGAACGCGATTCCCTGTCTACGCGATGCTAGGACAATCGTATATCGAGTCTAGCGTTCCATTCGTTTCTCCTGATCGGAAACCGGCCTGCCCACTGAGAGATGTCCAAACAGCGTGAAAGTGACAGCACGTTAGAAGTTCCTTTGGCATAGTTTAGAAATGTACACGTCCCATTTTTCTCTTTTTTTCCTCTTTTGTTCTCGGCCACGTTACAGTGGAATGTGTGTGTGTATGTGTTTCGCCTACTGTTGGCGCTCGCAAGCTTCCGTTCCGAACCGGAAGTATCTTGCCAAAGCCGGTCAGACGGCGAAGGGAGCATTGTCAAGTCGCCTCTTGACCCTTGAGGCGAACGAAACACAATTCTTGTTCCACCATGGACCTCGTTATTCGCGTTTCGTCGAGACGAGTTGACAAAGCGCTCCGCCGCCAATTCAGTATATATATATACCATTTTTCGCTTTTCTCGTATCCTATGAAATGACTGACTGCCACTGGTATTTGTTCTTTTTTTTTATAAATTCCAGACTGCCCAGCAGTCAGACGCATAACAGTTATCACAACTTAAAACCGTAATACTAATACATTACTCTTCTTTTTTCTTTTTTCTTTTGTAAATATATTAATATTTAATCATAAATATTATATATTATATTAGTAACAACTGATTCTTTATCGTGCCACGATATTTACGGTGGATTAGTAAAATACCATACGAAACGTCACGTACAACGGTTCACTTCCTGTTCATCCAGGGTTTCGGTTAAGAGGGTGGAACAGGGGATTTAAGGATGAGACAGGCGGGAGATAAGTTCTCTCTGTGTGTGTGTGTGTGTGCGTGTGTGTACGTGTGCGTGTATGTGGCAAGTAAAACGGACTAGAAAAGAAATAATAAATGCGAAAAAGTACGGCTGTCAAGCGAATAAACAGGAGGAAACGTTCGCTCAATACTGCTCTATCCCTGGTAATGTCGCCCCGTCGATATCGATCGTATCACGATTGCTCATACTCCCTATTTCTCTTTCTCTCAACCCCCGTCTTGTCTTTGGCGTCCTTCACTTGTTCGTCTTTACTAAAAAAATATTGATCGAAGCTACGTACAACGCTACATAATGGTTATTAACATTTAAAAATGAGATCTACTTTTTTTTCTTATCCGGCAACTCGGAAGGAGGACATTTAAAGATTACTTTGAGTTCGTCAACGAAGTGTCCCTTATTTTATACTCAGCGTTCATTTTGTTCGGTTGTCGTTTGCATCTTGTGATCTCTCTTCTTTGAAGGTTTTGTGTTTCTCGTCGTTTTCTTCGTGTGTCGTGGTTCTTCGTGGTTCATTGTCCTGGCATTGTCCTAGTACATCTCCTTTTTCCGTTGTCTTGTTCCTTTATCTGGTGGCGTTTCGTTGCCACCGGTGATGGTCTCGTTGGGTCGCGGCACTGCCGGTTTATAATACGTGGTTTGGTATCGGCGGGTTGCATCTCCTGCGTTCAGACAGACGATTTTCGAAGCCGATCTCGTTTGCTGCGTGTGACGGAGCTGTGCCGCCGGTTTTGCGAGCGTTCTCGCCGCGTCGCGTTTTCGTTCCGCCTGCACGGGGAACGTTCGGTCACTCAGAAGACCTCCGGCTCCGGTTCGTTCGACGGCGCGGCCTGCAGTGCCAGCTGCATGCTGGACTCTGTATTACGCCGTTTCATTTTACCCTTGGTCTTCTTCAGCATCTTCGCCTAGGAAGGGGCAGGGTCACAGGGGGCGCATAAAGGAGCAATTGAGAAAAAAAAGTCAATGCCATTCAGACCAAGTAAACAACAATATCTCGCAACTCCGTAACAGCCAGAATTTTTACAGACTAACAAGAAGATATATTCGTGAACGAAAAGAGGTGGTAACTCAAGACCGATTAACGATTGAAGGACATCTTGTCGGGAAGATTTTTAATATTGTTTTGAAAGGAATAACAGATTTTGTAAGCTATTCAATGACAGTTTAAAACAAAAAGTGTTGCTCTCATTGGCATTGACAATGATTTTTTAAAAATGTAATAGTTATTGCTTTGATAAGTTTGAATATAAAAGAACTGTTCGAATAGCAAATATGTTGTGCAATGAACTTTGAATTAGGCGACTGACAATGTTCTTCAAATGTTAATCGATTAAGCTAAAAAATACTATTTGAAAAAATATGCATAACAACTAGATCATGTAGAGTGTTGTGAAAAACAACAGATTTTGGTATAAAAAAATTATTCGTCATGTTTAAGTATTCAATTTAGTCGTTGTGACTTTCAATCTGAAGGATCTGTAAATATTGTACTGTATGAATTGTATTGTACAGTTTCGTAAAATTCTCCTTTTCTTCATAAATTAAACCGTCGCACATGTAAAACATGCACGCGATATTCAAAAGAACTAATTGATCCTGGAATTTTTCACAACGCTACATTAAGACAAGCTTGAGCATTAAGATTTTCAGAGGAATCAATGAATTTCCGGACAAACTTCAGCATCAACCAAGTTTGCTTCAACTAAACTCCTCATTTGTCACATCGAAATACAAACAATGATCCATAAAACTCTTTAAATAAAACGTACATATAAAAAAGAACGTATCAGTAGACAAGGATAATAAATAACATAAACAGAAAAAGGAACTGAAAATTGGAATACATCCGGTTGCACATGAGCTAAAAATCAAAGTATACCTAAACGCACAATGCACTGAACTTTATAAAATGTTATAGATGCACAATATTTCTCTGAAGAAACAAAGATCTGAAGTCGCCCAATAATTCGTCGATCACCCCAGTAATGTATCAACAATAGTGGCACAGAGGGCTACATGCGACGGGAACATCGAATGGAGTTCTCAACTATACAGGAAGATACATGTACGTGTTCTATATTTCGCATGGCGTAGCCACACCGAAACTCCCCTCTATTGTTTGCAGAATTCTGGGAGGACAACAGTCGGGGAGTCTAGGCGGAGCACTGGTCGTAAACTTGTATCACGAATTAAATCATCGACTAGTTGCAAGCTGCGGGTTAGGTTTTGTTGGTACACTCGTCCGTGCTCTTGCCCTCCTCCCCGTTAGCGGGTGGAATCGACGGTTCGGTATTCCGACGCTTGATCTTATTTTTCTTCAACATGGTTGCCTGGAGCGAACAAAGGAACAAGGAAGATATTAGTCAGAGAGTGCGATTAGGGGAGGATTGCATGCGCTGCCGGACACCAGCAGTTTTTGGGTATATAGCATTTTCTTTTATGTGGATACTGCATAGAGCGTAATGATAAGTAAGATTTAGGCGGCTAAAGTACATACAGATGCTCCGGCAGAGAGTCAACGTGCGACAAATATGTAGGTAGCCCCATCATTCTACATGAAATCGAACAGTATGAGTGAATATCGACAATAAGGTCCGTAAGGGAGTGTCAACTTTTTTTTAAGTGGTTCTTAACCCTTTGCACTCGAAGGTCCGTCCTCCTGGTATCAATTGTTCTGTTTCGTAATAAGCTGTACACTTGGAGATCTAAACAGATTGTTATATATTACAGTAGACACGGAGATTATTTAAAAGGATTTCTTTTCGTGAAGTTAACTTGTTTCGCACCACCCAGAAGTATCAACGCGATTTAGGGAGGTGGACGAAGTGTATTTAATCCAATCTGTATTTAACGAAATAGCGATATTGTACATTTAATTCTGGAATTTACGTTTTAATAGATAATGAGGATCTGAACGATGTACTCTAAAATAGGGATCTTCGATCGGTTGCTGAAATGTTAAGAATTTCAGTTTGAAAGCATTGTCATTCTACGACACTAATTATAGGGAAAATGGACACCAATTGCTATATAGGGAAGGTGCAGTGCAAAGGGTTAACAGGAGAACACAAAGTAAATGCTAGAAAAGGGGATAAGTGAGAGAACTTTAGTGCCAAGAATTAGGAAAATTTACTCTTACGGTGCATTACACCCACTCTGTTCTCTATTTCAATGGAATTATGGGGTTGTTACGGATGTCTGTACCAAGATTACCGTCAACGCTGATTTTAAAACTACGATATTCCCTGCGCTCTGGACCCATGGCTCCCCATCCACTTGTACCGGTATATCAGACTGCAAATGAATCTTTATATGTCCTCCCTGTGAGAGGTACAAAATTGATATTCAGTATTTCAGTCAGGTTTATCATTGCTACTAATAATTTGCTTAATTCGAAACAAAATGAACAGTAAACGACAAATTCATATTCACTTATTCTTCATTAATCAATTAAACAGTAGATGCCTGATATTTGTTTTTATTTTCATTCAAGAACTCTATTTAATATTTTCTGAATCGAGAGTAAAACTTAAGTGTAAAAAAATGCAAATTACTATCAAAAGAAGACTTTACCTGGGCTATCCTCATCCCTCCTCGAAGGCTGGATTGGATTTGCCCAAGATGCATCACACCTGTGACCCCAACCACTTCTAGCATACCGTCCGAATGATTTGGCGTGTGAAATTGATCTACCTTAGTGTCTGGTCCCCAGGGATTCGCCCCAGAGCCCCAACTATACAATTAAAACGGAAATCAATGTAAGGCAGTTTCTCTTGGTTTCCCACAATACCTGTCAAACTAGGAACATAAAAAAATTGATCTTTATGTAGAGCAATGATACCTTAAAATGTTCAGAATAATTATCCCTTCCACTTGAGGTAACTCGACAAGCCTTCCGTCCACTTCTAACCGGATCTTCGTGTGCAAATCTTTACAAGATGTTTTTTTGACCATCTGTCGTAAACCCATTGTCACGTACATTCCTTTATTACGAATTCTGCTCTTGAACTTGTCCGGATTTTCCTCCCTGGCTTTGTGGAAAGCCAAACACAGCTCCGCGTCGACGCCAATACCGAAATAATTATTCATCACATATATTTGCGTGTTATCTTCGCTGGTTGCACCGGCTCCTGTAACATTCGGATCCAAGACCTTACCTTTGTGCTTTATAGAAACTAAGATTAACTATAAAAATTCTTAAAAAAAAGTTTAAACTGTAATTACTAAGTAAGTACACATTTAAATAAAGTGATTCTAATCGAATGTGTTATCAATTAATTTCACATCAACTGAATTGAATAATGTAATTCTAGATTAAACATTTAAGAAGATATGAGTTTTAGTTTAATTTGAATCGGTTTGAAAGACTTTTTTATTAATATTTTTTAATAATTGATTCTGATTCAACATACCTCCAGGGATGTTGATTAACTGTTTGTCTTCTTTCTCTTCCGTGTGAAAAACTACGGTCCATCGATCCAACAGAGATTCCTCCGCGTCGATAACATCTCGGAGTACATTCAAGGGATCCTCGTCACCGGTGTAACCGGAACCCCAGCAAAGGACACGCGCGAGATCGTTTCCTGTTCCCAAAGGAACAATGGCGCAGGCAGGCGAGGAACACTCGCTGTCCTGACCCACATTGTCCAAACATTGCAGCACCCAACCTATTGTTCCGTCCCCGCCGCAAACCAAGATCTTGTAATCCCTTATGTGACGGAAAACGTAAAGTCTGAAATAGAAAACGTGAAGCATGTATGTACAACAATATTAAATTCTACGCTGATTATTTAATTTTTTACGTAGAATCATTGTTTTTTGCGTTAATTGAGAGCCAATTAGAAATGGAAGAAGTCGCGTACCCAGGAAGCGGCCCTCCATTGTCTAGATCAAACACTTGATACGGATTTAAAAGTTTGCGAAAGCTGGAAATCAACTGAAGTCCCTGGCAACCACCAGATTTCACATTCACGAAGACGAGCAGTGGCTGCACTCCTGATGGGACCATGGTTGGTTCGATACTAGGCAGCGGCATTACTGCAACCATCAAAGAAACAACTTATTGTTGCCAGATGAATTATATTTCTTTCAAAATTTAATTGTAGATAAATGTTGAATTTTACAAAAAATTCTTGAACTGGTAAATTATAAAATAAAATATAGTATAAAATACTACCTAAGAGATGTCGGTCTTCGTATTTAGATTCCTCCAACGTGTACAACGCTTTGACTGCTTTATTCGCATCCTCGTAGATAATTACCATCGAGCCATATTCGTAATATATCGTACCAATTGAGGAGAATTTGTTTTCTGTCATATAGATTAAATTATTACCGTGTAACTAAGTAAATACAGTTTCTAGGATTATTTGTTTTAAACTGTCGATTTTTGCTGCTTACCTCTGCCTACGAGATCAGTCAATATATTTTCGTAAATTCTTTCCGGTTGATTCACTGGCAGATTTCCCACAAATAAAGCTAGATTAGGTCCGTGAGGATCTTGCTTCAGCTGCAGATAGAACCGCATCAACTCCATCTGTCTGATCGAATCTTTTCCCAGTTGCTTGACAATCTCCCATGGTTTTTCGTCGCGTGACAACACTCTTTCAGTGACTAGACGGAAAGAAATAATCTTACACGATCATATCTAGTTCAATAAAAAGAAAAGAATTTATTCGCGATAATGTTGCTATAAGATAGCTAACAAATTTCATAGAATCCTTGTAACAGCTAATACAGCTACAAAATATAATGAAATTAATTTTTATACATAATCCTTACCACCGCGATCCAAAAGAATCTCACTGCATCTGTAATCTTCCGATTTGAAATTTTCTAAACCGAACTTCTGAAGCGCTTCTTCGATCAGGTCCGCAACTGTGGTGTTTACAGTGACAGGTACTATGCAGAATGACTCTGATACCTGTAATTTGCCCGGATAGACGCGTACTTCGCCAGCCTCGAGATCCCTGCAATCACAAGATTAAAGGTCCGTGTTCTCCAAAATCGCATTCAATAAATTTTTTCGATGATTCTTAATAACGAAAACTTACTTAAATCGCAAGAAGACAGCCGGACGTTTGCCCTCTTTGCGATTCAGGTTTGGAACTGGCGTCGGATCGCATAACTCAGTCTCATCCGAGGCGTACAGGTCGGTGAGGTAAAAGTTGTCTGAATCGAATAAGGCTGAATAAGAAAAAGTATAACACAAGTGGACACAAAGTATACCAAAAATTGAACAAACAAAAGCTTCCCATCGCTACATTATAGAATTCTAGTATACTGAAAGGAAAGTGTTCAATCTTTGTACGTAAGATTCATCAGAAAATGCGGCTGGACAAGAGCAGCAATTGTTAAAGCGTTAGTAACTTAGCATTGTAGCGACTGGTGCGTTAGTTTCCTAATTTCATCAATTGATCAGTCGGAACGTACTGGGATCTTTCGTAATATGAAATGCACGTAGCGCCGCTGTCAAGACCTGTTCAGTGGTGGCTTGCCGGGGCACCGAGATCACGCGAAGTATCCGCCGGCTGAAGGAACTGTTGCCGTCGTAGACCTTGATCATCTCTGTGCAAACACATCGATAATCGGTAAAATGTCGACCACCAGGTGTTTGAGTTGCGTGAAACGTAGTGAAATACCTTCGTCACCTCTATCTTTGTCTTCTTTCTCCTTCGGCGAACGGGGATCGCGACTGTGCACACCGCTCGGCCCTGGTTCGCCGTTATCGCGGCACCTCGTGTCTCCGCTGCTGAACTCTTCCGATATGCTCCGCGCTGAAAGAAGAAACCGAACATCGGATTCCGTAACGATCGGTCATCGTTCCTGATCGAAACGCGGTCACCCTAGGCTCCCGAACGACAGACCAGAAAACGAAAACAACTTGGGCGCAAACGGACCGCCCCGTTTCCTCAGGGAAACGGGCAGCACGCAACACAGACAACAGATAACAATAACATTTCCCTCAGATAACATTAATGGTATACGGTATGGAAGCATCTATTGGTAACTAAGAGACACTTTCCAGTCGAGACTTTTATTCCTTTAAGGGATCACTGGACACTAATGTGTACACTGTGGATCGAATGTATGCGACTGAACCTTCGACCGCTGACATAGCTACGATACGGACTATCGTCAAAGCGCTAACATGTCGAACTGAGGGAATTAATGACGGTCGACTTTGGGCAAGGCGGAAGTTACGCGCGAGATGCTCTGAAAGATTAATGCATAACTGTGCTGACGATATTATATGTTTTCAATGATAGGTGGACGTTCTAAGCGTAACTGTCCTGGGCTAAGTAATGATCTAGACAGCCTTTGAATTCGATGGTGATGGATCTCTGGAATCGTTCTCCCTGGATTCCAAGTTCAACAAGTATTGTACGTTTCGGTAATCACAAACTGCGCAATTTCAAATTAGCGGTTAATATATGACCAATTACAAGACACTCGAACAATGATATAACGTATACATGCATTATTGATCACCAGCAAATTTCTCTTATGCACTAAACATTTCAGACATTTCAAAGAGTGCAATATCTGTGCGATAATACTGCAGCATTGCCTCGAGAATTTGGACTGTTCGATTCGTTATGTTTGAATAGATACGGAATCGTTGCTAATTTCAATTAAGTCTTCGTTAATCAAATTTTCAAAACAATACGATGCAAGGGAATTTTCTCATACTCGTATGTAACTGACACTCGAACTTAATCTCGCTTCGAAGTCTCGCAAGTCGTTTGATCAAGTCTTCCTCGTATTTTCCTCACCCTAGATATATCTCATTCTCTGTCGTTATCGTTCGACGGACACGTGTCCAGGCTAGAGGCAAAACGTAAAACGATGTAATTTTATCGTAAATGCTTCCAACCCTCGAAATTCCCTATTAAACTGGGCGAACAGCTCTCAGGTACACGAGGCAATACCGCTAATCGTGTCGTTACGAGATGCGTTCGAGAATAATTAAGGGAAAGTAGAAAAGGGAGCACAGAGTGTTGCATACACCGGCGCTACGACGCAATCCTTTTCGAATACCTCGACAAATAAATGGCACCTCTTACCATCGGGCATGATGGGTTTGCAGAGCACACATGATAGGGAGAGATTTAGTCAGTAGTATTCTTGCGCTTCGTTCGCACTGCATAGTGGTGTGATAAGCGTCACGGAACTCGGATAGCATCCAGCGGGCTGAGTGTGACAGTACATGCACCGAAGCAACACATATAAATGCATGCTAGAACGTAAATATTAAAAAAGTGACAAACATTCATAGAGACGGTCAAGAAAACGTGGCGCGAGATGCAGTTTCGATTTTCATGATTCGTTTTTACTCTTTTTTCCATTTATTCATTTACTTTTACGCCCGCTGAAATGAAAATTCATCATTATTATGTATCATTGACGCAGCATAAAACAAAAATAAATGATCTATTAAAATGGAATGATTCTTCTGATATTGAATGTTTAAGTTTACAAAACTTACCAGTTTCTATTTACTTAATTTATTTAGTATTTGATAATAAATAAAATAATTATATTTACTTGCTTCTTTACTTAATCAGAGAAAAACTGTAACTTACTTTTGTTGAATACTGTGTCTTACGTTATCATGGTACATGGTTCTGTCAGTTACAATGGTTGTGTGTTTAACATACTGCCTACCACAAAATATAATTCGCGACTGTAGATATAAAGTTAAAGCATTGAGTTTTTCGAAAAGTGCTTCATCTTATCTTTGTGAGATTATATTTATAAAGAATAAAAGATTTTTGCCATCTTAAGAAGATCATTACAAACTATAAATGCACGAAGTTATTGTTAATTATTTTTGTATTACTCGGATTATCCAACATGTAGCTGAATATTTCTTATTTGTTGCTAGATATATATCATCCATTAGTAAAATCCTAATTTTATGATTTCATTCTCGAAGAATATCAATTTGAAATCTCATCCCATCAGAAGTATTGTACGTTTAAAATTTCTTCAGAATTTCGAAATGAGTTTAGATGATTCGAAACATGCAGAAATAAAATTCATGCGATAAAGTGCCCGAAGAATCAGTAAGTTTTCTCACTATATCAGTATTTCCTTCCTGTTATTGTCGTCTAAAGATTTTATTCAGTATCCGATGAAAAGCTTCACTGCCAATACCAGTGGAACAAATAAATTGAAACTGCTGATTAAATTCAAACAATTTACATATCTGCAAAATTCTCGTTGCCCCCAAACGTTCCCCGAAATCATCAAATCTTTCCCCACGAAGGAAGATCCCGCTTGTCAATAATACGTTGAACGACATAAGTACGTACATGTGAGCTGTGAAGTAAGTCTTCTTCAAGTTCGCACGACAGAGCTGTGCATCAGCGTACGTCAACGTTATTAGTTGAAAGCTCCGTATAACAAAATCAAATCCTTCGTCGTTCAGATCAGAAAAATCACGAAGAAACAGAAGTCCAAAGCGCGTCTTTGTTTCTTCGATTACCGTGGAAAAGTGAAACAGGGTGATGAAGCGAAAATTAACGAGGCGAACGAAGAAAGCTGGATCGGCGGGAAATAATATTTTAGCGGCAGGTGACGTATTTCTGCGTCTAAAGCTGGAAAAAATTCTTGAAAGCTTGACAACTCTTACGTACAATAGAAAACTAAAAGCTTATGCAGTTTCGATAACTTCCGTTTTGAATCTCGAACATTCTCCATAAATCAAAAACAAAAAGATCGTAAATAATCGCACCAAACTGCATACGTACGATTAGTATCTTTATAAAAAAAAAACATTTTATTTTCATCAAACAGATAATTTTATTTTTATGAAATATGAAGACTTCAACTTGGTTTCA